TTTTTTTGACCATTTGTTTAATTTGTTTCGCTTATCCATTTATCCATTCAAATATCTGACCAAAATTGATTATCTGTTCAATTTTTATATCCATTCACTTTTTTTAATCTTTATCTGTTCAAATTCAAGTACATACAAAGATAGAGGATGAGAAGTAGAAATGGAATTTTCAACCATATCTGTTGCAATACCAAGCCAAACCAAACCCTACCTGTTTTTTTTTTATTATTTATTATTTATTTTTTTCTATCTGTGTTGAACAGATTGCACATAATTATTGCAATCTGCTTCATCATCTATATCACATATAGTGATCTAGATGATGTTTAATCTATATATGTTCGACAACAACAACAACAAAAGCAGACAACAAATAAATTTTTTTATCTGTATTAAACACCATAGATTATTCACCAAAAACACATATTAAACACCACACTCGGATTCGTCAGATCTGAGGAAATGAAGAGACGGATTTGAGTATCATAACCAACGATATTCATCATCAACAACAAGAACAAGAGATCAACATCTATCAAAAAAAAAAAAAACTGTAAATAAAGGGAGAGAGACATATACATATACGAGAACAACAAATCAACTACCAAAAAAAACATAATAACCTGTGAAGAGACATACAAAATACTTGTATATCAGAGCTTGATGCTCTAGCTCCTACCACTGTGCCGCCGTGAACGGCGGCCGAAACCCCGGTCCGGATCGCGATGCCCACGCCGGCATCGACCCTTCAGATCTGTGGTCGCGCGATGTGATCTGGTTTCAGATCTGGTAAAGAGAGAGAGAGAGAGAGAGAGGTGGCTGTGGTGAAGACGATTCTAGCGGCAGTGACGGCGCAGATAATCGGCGTAGGATCTTGGCACCGGTGACCAGATCTGAAGAAAAGAGAAGGAAGCGACGGATTGAGAAGAGGTAGTGGCGATGGCGAGGGAGGAGGAAGAGAAGAATCAGAAGAGGGAGGATATGAGGAGATCGAGATAGGATTCCGGCAACTCCAGTGACTCCGGCGGAGAGAGAGAGAGAGAGACCGTGTGTTGACGGATTACATTCTGAGAATTGGGACCGATGCTATATATATTGGGGTAATTTAGTAATTTTACAGTGGTTTGTTTTTATTACTCCTATTATCACTCTATTAATTATTTTGAGCCGCTCAATTTTTAATCTTATTTTTATTATAATAATAATTTCAAATAAAATTATTAAAAAGGACATCATTAATTTTGAGACACCTCATCTCATAATTAAACCCATACACCCACTACATCATGAATTAGGGTTTATGAGGCCACCCACCTCCATCACTACTCATTCATTCTTCAAATCTCACCTTCAAAACTTACCTATTTTCAAAATCTTGAAAACCCTTTAGTGGCAATATTCCGACAGTAACGGTATCAACCATTTGATTATATATACTTCTCTGGTAATGATAATAAGTGGAAATTTTTCGATAACCACAACTTCATGAGACAAGAGGAGTACAACAATAAAAATTTAGAAAAGATTCATACCTCTGATGGTGTTCTTAGTTCAAAGAAGATCGGCTTTGTAAAGGTAAATTTCTTTAAAAAATGCCAAATATAAAAAAATCTATTCGTCATTTTTTGGGGATTGAACTCCCGAACATATAACTGAAATTCGGGAACACGGGTCTGAATATTATTTATTTGTTCAAGAATCGAAAATCGAACATTTATTATTTGTTTGGGAATCGATAACCAAACATTAATCACTGAAAAAAAGGATGAGGTGGTAGAGAGAGAGAGCATTCCAACTATGACAGTGGCTAAACCAAGGAAAAGGATGGCGCAAACAGAGACAGTAATCAGACTTGACTCTTTTTCTTCTTCATTGGTTTTGTTAAGATTTTTGGAAGAGAGTTTTTTTTTTTGGTGTGGGGTGTGCATTCAATTAAATAGGTGAAATGTTTTCATAAAAATAATTTTGATATTACTTGAAAGAGAAATTTTTTTTTAAGGGTTTCAAAATTTATAAACGGATCCAAAAAAAATGAGATCTAAAATAATAAATTGGGTACTAATAACACCATTCAAATATTATTGTTTGTGGCGTGGACCTTCGGACAAAAACAATTTAATTTTAAATTTTTGACCCAACCATCTAAATAAATATTTATATAGTTATGTTAAAATTATAATTTTTTTTTTATATATTTCTTTAAATTTATAGAAAGTTGAGCGTAATCTATCTTGATAAAATCTTCTTGGGTGTGTTTGTATATTTGATTTCCATTTTCAGTCTTGTTAAGATTTTCTATACTGCATCAAGAAACCCAAAAGCAGGAGGACCACTGGCAGCAGGTAATAAGTGGCAAATAGCAAATGAAAGTGAAGCACAGAAATCTATCTTGCTTGTTGTGGTGGTTAAAAGCTGAGGTGGGCCCCTCTGTACCTTCTATGCTTAGTTATATTCTTTCAGGATTTCCTTCTGCACATATTACTTGTTTGTTAAATTCATGAATGAATGATTTAGGTTTTTGAATCCTGAAACCTCACATGCACACATCTGTATCACCTTCAAATATATAAATATATATATTATAGTGTGTGTTGTACATGACACTTGATCTATTATTAATTAATAGTATTATGATTATGAGTGCCTGACATGATAAAAAATATAATATTAGTAATTAGTATGTTTTTATTTATATAGAAAATATAAAATAATTTTTTTTAAAAAGTAAAATAATATTGTAACTTAATATTTTAATCGATTTAGAAATTTCATCATTATTTTCATGATATTTATAGATTCACACTTATAAATGTTTGCAGAGTCACTTATATTAAACTGTCAAGTTATATAGTTTATTATGGCATCTCTAAGTAATCAGTATATATCAAAAATTGATTGAAAAACTTTATTTCATATACTTACTTTTTGTATCATTGAGTTACTACGATAATGTTTGAGTATCATTTGATTTTTTTTCCTTATAATTGGACTAAAATGTGTGCATGGGGTACATTATTTTTTTTTAACTTCGGATAAGACAATTTCTGCTTTAGTTCGTTTAACTTTACTTGGAGAGTATGTTGCAGTAAATCTTTTGTAGTTTTTATTTTATCATCTTCTTATTTTTCTTCTTCCTCACCATTATAACTTATTTTGATGAGTAAGGCCAAGTTTGGGAAGACTAAATAAGTATACTTTTTGACTTTTTATGAAATATGGGTTGGATTTGGATTGGGTTTGAAGTGATGTGTTAGAGAGGTGATGTGACTTAAATGAGATGATGTGACTTAAATAGGATAGTGACTTTTTGACTTTTTGGATTTTTTGGAAGATGCCAAACTTTGAGACGATATCATATTATTATGAATTTCAAAATATACTTTCTCAATAATGTGATTTTTTTTTTTTTTTTTTTTGTGATGACAAAATAAGTACAATTATTATTGTGAGGGAGGTGTTTTACAAAGTCTTAATTTGTTATTAAAAGTATTTGTTGTAAACACTTGTTTAAATGACATGTATGTGTGTGTATATATATATATTAAACATAATTTTGTAATTTTTTCCTAACAAATATAACTATATTACTAAAGCAATAAATGTTGAAAACTTAAAATATCTTATGATAATATAACATTACAGATTAAAATGTATAAATACAGTAACATATATAAATTTACATTTATATATTTATATATGTAGATATTGACATATATAAGATATCACAAAAGTAATATATGAAATCTTTTATAATAATATAATACAGGTAACAATGAAAAGTTAATTATTCATAATTAAATAATTGGTGATAATATAGATGTTTAGTGTTACATTTTTGTGTATATGTACTATTTTTTAATTAGATTATTAAATTCAAATAAAAATTGAAAGAAATTTGTGAATAATTTGTATGAATTAGAGATTAATGAAGAAAGATTTAAAAAAAGAGAAGTTTCTAGTGTTTAGTTTTGTTTTGTTTACCTTTTTTCAAACTTTAGTTTTGAATATTTTAGTTTTCATATATAATATATATCTATCTATCTTCTATCTATACTATTATAAAGTGAACACCTCTTATGGTATCCTGAAGCTTTACTCTCCTGCCATGTGGCAGTATTTTTTATTTTTTAAAAAAAAATTAAACAAAGAGATGGGCAAGGCTTGAACCCATGACCATGGGTTTAAGTACGAGGACTCATACCACTTAAGCTAAGTACACATTATAATATTAATTTCATTATTATTATTTTTTATTCCTACTTATTTAAATTGCACACACATCGTGTGTGCCACCCACTAGTATATATATATATATATATATATACGCAGAAGCAGCAAGTAGAATGAAGAAAATGGATTACAAAATCAAATATGATTAAAATTGAACAGCATTTAAGGGTTTATAATTAATAACAAGTCGAGGGACACCTCGTTCTAATTCAGCATTTTTGTTAACATAAAAAGTAGGACAAGACCATGGTGATTTACTTGGACTAATTATTCAATTTTTTAATAATTCATTAATTTCTTTTTTACACATTTCAAGTAATTCATGATTCATTTGAATATGTCTAGATTTAGTAGGTATCTGTCTTTCATTAAAATGCTTAATATATGGTAAAGTAACTACATGTTTTTTCCTATGCCAGAATGCAGTAGGTAAAGTTGAGCAAACAGTTGATTCTAATTTTAATTTAAAATCATTAATTTGAGAAATAATAACTGAATCAGTTAATTGTTGATCAATTCTTTTATAATTAATTTCTTCTTTAAGAAAATTTAATTGTCTAGTTAATCTATTAATTGTGTGAGAAATAGAACAATCTTTTAATTGATTTAATTCTAACATTTCAGGTGGAGATAAAAATTTAAATGTAACAGGGTGACCTAAAACATGAGTAGTTATGCCTTCACTAGATGTAGTAAATGGATAGAGTAAATAAATAAATGGTGTACCTAAAATGATTTTATCAGTCATATTTTTAACTGAAACAAATAAGGTTTTAAAACAAACATTATCTTGACAAACATGAACTTTAGGTAATTTATATTTAATATGCATTTTATTACCATTAGTAGAAGTTAATTTCTCATGACATTTTTCATAATATTTAGTAGGAAATTAAACCTTCTTGAATACAATTTAAATCAGCACCAGTATCAATTAAAGCAATTAATTCTAATTCAAAATTATTAATAGTAATTTTAATTTTTGAATACCATTTTTGCATATAAATTTTATTAATTAGATTTAATCTTTTATCTTCAAGATTATTAGATTGGGAACGATTATCAAATAATAAATTTTCAGGATTGGTATGATCAGAATCATGTTCAGAATTATGTTCAGATTCATTAAGAGATTCATTTTGATTATTTTGTTGGAAATTATCTAGACTTTGATTAAGTTTTAAGGTAATAATTTCATCTTCTAGATGTCTATATTTACTTTGTAAATCTTTGATAGTTTGTTTTGTTTGATTAATTTCATGTTGTAAATCTTGTAAGGTAATTTCTTTGTGTTTATTTTAAAATCTATCTAGGGTTTTGGATAGACTAATTATGGGTTTATCAAACTTAGGTTTTGGATCACGATTGGTTAATAAAGATTTTAACTTATCAGTATATTTCTTTTTTAATGTTAGATCGTCGAGTTTACTAATTAATTCAATAAGAGTAACTTCTTCTTGACTTTGTTTAGTAAGAACATTAATTTGTTTAACTGGTTTATAACAAACATCATTACATCCTAATTCAATATTATTATCAGAATCTTCACTAGGTGGATTAGAACTAGATGAAGTGCTAAGATTATCAGAAGAGGATTCACTAACAGATTGATTTAATTGAAAAATTTCATATAATTGATTTTTAGAATTATCATCAATTTGGAGTTGGTTAACTCTATTTTTGAGGAGTTGTTTTTCTTTACATTTATTTGAATAATGACCTTTTTGACCACAGTTATAACAAGTAATATCTTTATTAGATTTAGATTTTAGATGTGATTTAGATTTATAATATTTCTTTTTGGGTTTAGTGTAGAATTTATCATTAGATTTGGAAGGGGAATAATTCTTTTTGTATTTATTAGAATATTTGTAAGATGATTTATGCTTATGTTT